TATTTATTTTATTTATTTTATTTATTTTATTTATTTTATTTATTTTAGGAAGGTTTACAGCTTAAACAATGATATATAACACAAAATAACAACGGAAAGCCTATTACAAACCTTCACAATTGAATATCTAAATTACAACTTAATCAATACTAGTGCTAAATTACTACTGCTTAGAAGTCAAATCTTCAAAGTCATTCGCGACTGTTCAAGCCTTAAACTGTTTCATGTCTGTTTCATACTTTGCCAATGTGTAAACTACACATTGTGGATTTTTAGCCCTATAAATATGGTAAAATATGCACTCCATACATTAATTACAACTATACTGTTGATTACTACAATACAATTATATCATAATTTAGTAAAGGAAATATTTAAAGTAAAATATAATCTGAACTAAATATAACCTTTTCATAAAAAAATCTACTTCAATTGTATTATTTTTATTGGAATTACATTTGAGTAAAACTCAAAAAACCAGATGGATCCCTTAATTTGCCACTCTTAGAGAATATTTTTTTTCAAATTTAAATGGGACCACTATAGAGGTATAGCTTTTCCAACAAAAAAATAATCATCGAAAACGGTTCACAAATGTCGGAAATATTGCGTAACGTAACACACACACACACAAAAAAAACTCATTGAGAACCTGCGCCATTTTTGAGGTCGGTTAAAAACTAAACGTTGTAACAAACCTATTTTATACCACATACTTAACTTTGTTTGTAACAATAGTTCCAAAGTTTACCGCTACATTGCATTGGCATCGAAAACGCGATTTCTGAATCGCGGTTTTAAGATTTTCCCTCGAATGAGGACTACTTCATCACAATTTTGTTTATGTTGAGAAATCAGAGAATACTAAGAGTTCAGAACGGTTTGCCAGGAGTTGACTTTCTTGGGAACTGCTGCCCGGACCTTCTGTTAGCGACGTACTCTCATATAGGGTGACTCTTTATTGCCCGTCATAAAGGGTGAAAATCATCGTCTCGGAACGGTTTCCAGGAGTAGAGTCCCTTTTTAGGAACAACTGCCCGGACATATAAGGTGGGACTGCATTGGCGTCATACAAGGTGAAAAGCAATTGAGTTCAAAACAAAATATTAAAGAGATACATGTAAATAAATAAGTTCAACTTAACCTTTAATCATTACAAATCAATATTAAGACAATAAAACTGAAAATAATATTGTTTCCATTGCATCCGTGTAACTATTTTAACATTGCTAAATTTTACAAAAGAGCAATATTACTTTAACGTTAAAGTCACGTCATGGTACGAACTGAGTGAATGAATAGTCACAAAGCTGCCAATAAAACATCATAGTTTTAACATTATAATAAGCTTACTTTAAGCGCCTTATGGTACGAAAAGTCAATGTAAGGTTAAAGTAATAATTTTGTTTTAAGAGGTTGTGGTAGGACCCCTGATGCAGTGCCCAAACGCGCTTTAGTGTGTTTCTCGTTGTTTTTATTACAAATACAACAATAAGGGCTATTACTCACTCAAGTCGTAGTTGATCATCCGATTTTCAAAGTACCAGAAGACATACGAAGGTGGCTCGGTGGATCTTTTCACGACGCATACCAATCGCAGCATTGAACCTTCGTGAATTATCTTCTCCGATTCTCCAACTATCTCCGCATACGCCGCTGTTGGAGAAGAATAAAGTTTCAAAATCATTGCACGTAAACGCACTTCGTATCGCACACTCAATAATAAAGTAACTAAATTCGAAAATAATTATATTTGGGGAATTATTTAAAGAAATAAACTAATATATCAGTTTTTTTATCAAACATGGCACATGAAATACTGTCCTTACTTAAAAGTGAGTAATAGAAGAAATACGATTTCAAATATAAAAAAAATAATGAAACATGGCATTGGGCTATATGTATATTACTAATGCTAGTTTCATTTTGCAAATGTCAGCATTTCCAATATTACTTTTCGATTTTAATCACTTTATTATTGATGTGCCAATGCGTTCACGTTAATTATGGGAAATAGAAAACATACTTTGCTTGATTTTTTTTTATGATACCAAGTTTTGCGGCTGGTGGTTAGCAACAAGCCTATCCATAACGGTTCAAATCGCAAAAATCCAAGAACACTTCCACTGCGCCCATCACCCTGAGACATAATTTGACAAGTCTCATGTGCCTGTAATTTTACCGGCACCCTTACCCTTCAAAACCGGAACACAATAATGCTCACATTACATTTGTCGGCAGAAATAGGTAAGGTACTTTTCCTGGACTATTTCTTTCACAAGGAGTTCTACTGCTACTAATATAACATAATTGACATTAATAACATCACATCTTGGTCCTATTATACAAAGCCGCAAATGGTACAGAGCTAATATCTATTAATATTTGTAAGCGACATTACCATCCCTAAATTAGCACTGGATTTTTAAATCTGTCTTAGGCGTCATAGAGACTTCATAGGTTAATGATGAGTTATCTAGTAATATTATTATAATTTCTACTCATTTCATAATTTATATATTTACTAGCTGGTGCCATAATACTATAGTTTTATTGGTTTTCCGTTCAAACTTTTGTCCCTATTTCTCACCTGTTTTTTGTGACAAAACGATACCTCCAATGCCTGCAAATACTGCGCCAACTTCATTTTTGGACATATTCTGTGTATATTTTGTTTTTTGTTTCTTTTTTTCCACAAAATTCGTTTTCTTTTATTTTTTTTTTTGAATTCTGTTCTTTGTTTCTTTATTTTTTTCCACAAAAATCCGGAAGGAAATATTAATAAATAAATATGGGTGTTTACAAAAATAACACAAAATGACCAATAACTAAAGTTGGCGTATTGTTCTGGGTCCCATTACCTCTATACCAACTGGTTTAGCGGTTTAGACAGACATAGTTATTTTCGCATAATTATAATACTAGAAATACCACGTGATTGACACAAACGAGAGATAATGGTAGATTAACCAAAATTAAATCACTGCTCTATAAATTAACAGGTGCATAAGCAAAATATCAGCTGATATCTATAAAAAAATAACAACTAATTGGTAGCACATAGTTTATTAATAATAATAATAACGCACACACTCAACATAGCCCCGCACTAGGGAAACCCTGTGTTGCGGGTGCCATGGACACACACATAGATAACTACAAATTACACCCAAACTCACGAGGGAAATAAATGTAGGCCATACAAATATTTCTCCCGACCCGGGAATCGAACCTGGGACCTCTGCGTGGCAGTCCGGCATGGTAACCGTTCGGCCACAGAGGCAGTTATTAGATGAAATATCTGCGAAATTCCATCAGTCTGATCCCCATTCTTGATTGTATAAATTCCTTGCATAAAAACAATGTAAACTATTCTTTTAGTAGGGAGTAAAATGAAGCAGCTGTTCCAGTTTAGAAACAATAGCAGCATAAGTACTAAGCGAGTAAGAATAATAAATGTACCTACTAGTACAAAAGTTCATTTTTCTATCAAAGTTTCCTCTACTTTTTACAAAATTATCAACTGGGCACTTTAACTTTAGGATTCCCGCAAAGAATGAGTTTAACTTTTTATAACATTGGTAAAGACACAATAAAAATCATTTAATTAATTTAGTAAATTACATCGTACATTAAGACAAGTAGGTACATCTAAAATAAATTAATTCAGTAAGAGCGACGCCACATGATGCGTTACGTCGGTGTTGCGATCTGAGCGTATACCAGATCATTCCAGAATCCAGAAGACAAACCGAGGAGGGGTGCTGCGGTGCGTAAGTAAGCGGTGTTACGTTGCGACAATTGTATTGCTCCTGTGGCATTCAGTGCTTTAAAATCATAACGTTGCGACGAAACAGTGCACCGGCAGCGCCCGTGTGGCATCGCTCGAGTGCAAATGTCGCCATCAAACTAGATAGTATTTTGGCCGGCGTAAAATCGGTGTGGCAAACATTCATGTTATTTTAATAGAATATCAGCTTCTTGTTAATTTATTTACAATCTATATTTCAATACAATACTTACGTTCAATTAAAATGAATTACGTTTTTGTCTACGCACATTCTACCATTTAAATTAAAAGCGCTTATTTTCTCATGATTGTTTCTTTTAGAAACAATCTTTTAGTGCTTTTTTCAAAAACAGCACGCTGATCAGGCCGACGTCGGCTGAAAAACGATCAAACGCCGCCGTCGATAATTTTACTATAGGCGCACATGTATAATCCCCACATTATGGAATTAATTTATTATTATATTATTAATTTTCACTTACCAACTAGCACGAGCTTAAAGAATATGCTAGTAGGAGGGTGAGTTGGCACTTGACACTCGTAGTAACCCGCGTCTGCCGACGTTGCGAACCGTATGTGGAGAGCCCAGTCCTGTTGAACAAATTGTGTTGGTTACTTTCAATTGAAATTCAAGTCACGTAAAATGGTTTGTGCTCTGGTTAAGAAAGAGGTCAAAGCTTTGCACAGTATACTAGTGTAGAACGTCTAATTATACTTATTTGGAGAAGATATAAAATGATTAAATGGGTTATCTAACAGCAGTCCGAAATGACATTTTCCAGAAATGACGTTTGCTCGAATTTTCGTAACCTCGAAAGTAATTTTGAGAGGAAATGTTTTTTCTTTTAAACCTAACTTAATCTAACCTAACCTAACCTAATCGTGTAGTTGCGATAAACATCCAACATATCCTGAAAGAACAACGGTTTCTTTATAATTCGGTTTTTGGTGTAATGGAAATTCGAAGAAACTTTATTTCGGAAAAAAATTCGAGTTTGTGATAGGTTACCGATTAAATGTTCTGAGACACAGCTAGAACAATAGTAATTTATGACATAACTAGCTAGTACCCATGACTTCGTCTGTGTAGAATATATACTTCGAGTAGCCTACTTAACTGTGCATTTTTCTTCGTGTTTGATCTGTGCATTAATAATGCAAAAGTTACTTTCCTAAACTGGGTCAATTAGAAATTGTAACCGAGATCTAGGATCGGAGCACTCTCGTTACCGACTCACCGAATTCGTCATAATGATATCGACTCGTTCTGTAACCAAGTTTCGAAGGAACCTTTCAAAATCCAAATCCATGATGGAACCTCTCAAACTTTCAGATTAAAGTAATTCCCAAGATAACGACATTGAATTGAAAATTAGGCTCTTGGATTCCGATACCGCATGCTTTAGGGTCGTTTGTAACAAGTTTTCGTCATACTTTTCTCTTGTATTTACTTGTTTGAAATTTTGAATAAAATTGCGTTAATTTTAGTGACATTGTGGCGATATGTCTCGATTGGAAAATATCCACTTTTAGTGAAACAAAAACTTTACACTAAGGCTCAATTTATATTGCGGCGGAACGGAATGGATTTTTTGTAACGATATTGTACATTGCTAAATTAACTTTATGTCAATTGTGTAAAATACAAACTAGATACGCGCATGCTCAAGAATGCTCACGCATTCCGCGGAGGGTTTTGGCTTATATCTATTTTGTACACAATTAACCATAGCCATAGTCAAAGAATCATTTATTCCATAGGTAAAATAAATTTACACTTCAAAACGTCACATATAAGCTATTTCTCGTTCAATACGCAGGCTTCCCTGAGAAGAACGAGCAAGAAACTCTAGGGATTGCTCTTTTCAAATAAACTGAAACGCTATGGAATACATACACTTTGAATCAAATTTGTATGGACTCTGGAGCCATGTTACCTTTCCATACATCATTATCTAACACTTAGTCTTCAATTTTGTAATGTCTTTTCAATCAAAATATTTTTAATGTAGTTTTTAAACTTTTCTTAAGGTTGATGATGATAATCTTAATATATGCTCCGCGATCTTATTGAAAAAACGTATACAGTTCCCCATAAAAGAGTCGTCTATCTTGGTTAAACGAAATTGTGGTACCATGAGTATGGAGTTAGCTCTAAGGTTAATATTATGGATATCTGCTTTCTTATTGAAATTATGTATATTTTTACGGGCATATGAAGTATTTGAGTAAATGTACTGTGATGCCACAGTCATGATACCAGTGTCCTTAAACTTTTCTCTGAGAGCAGAACCTAGACGGTACACAGAACGAATCGCTCGTTTTTGCAACACAGATATTTTAGGTTTGTATATTTGCCGCTTTACCCCACATGAGAATCCGGTAGCACATTATACTATGGAAGTAACTGAAGTAAACTAGTCTACCAGTACTAACATCGGTAAGCTCACGTATTTTGCGGACTGCGTATGCAACGGAGCTTAATCTGCTGGCCAGGGAAGATATATGTGGAGACCATTGAAGTTTACTATCTAAGGTCACTCCCAAGAAGACTGCTTTATTAACAAGGTCTAACTTTTCTTTCATAAAGTTCACAAAGTGCATCATACAATATCGTTATAAAAATTCGCTGCCATTCCCTTCCATCGCAATATAAATTGAGCCTAAAGGTTTATAATACAGCTTTTGCGTAGTTGGATGACATAAATCCGTGATAGTGACTCAGTTAGCTCTTGCAGGTAATATCGATCTGATGTTTGAAATAAATATTGTAAATATGTTGGTAAATGTGTACAAATATATTTTTATTAAGTGCATCCCCCAGAGTTACTCGCTCATTCTTTTCAGGGGAACCTGCTTTACGAATAAGCAGCAGAGTTTGATCAATATGATGATTTCAAGTGTAATTTCTTTACATATGAAATAAAGATCATTTAAGTTTTAGTTCAGTAAAAATTCCAGTTAGATTTAATTAAACTTGGAAAAAATTCACGATAATTCTCACGGCACCATGCGAAATGAGTTAGGTAAAGTAAATTAGAAATTAGTTCGCCAATGGGTTTCTTTTTTCATGATATCAATTGACGGGACGAACAAGTTGTGCGCCTGGTAAACGAGTTTTAAGTGCAGTAGAGCTCGTTGTGAATGTGAACCTTACCTATTTCTGCCGGCAAGCAGAAAAGTTTTTTTTATAACATCAAGTGACGGAACGAACAAGTCGTGCACCTTAACAGTTACAATGCCACTCAGAGCTTTAAGTTGCAAAGATTTGAGAGGCACTACCACTGAGCCTGTTACTCTGAGACATAAATTTGATAAGTCTCGTGTGCTTGTAGTATTACCAGCACCCTTACCCTTCAAAACCGGAACACAGTAATGCTGACATTACTACCCTGGACGAACTCTTTCACAAGGAGCTCTAGTGCTATTTGAGTGTCGACAAGTACATAGATATCCTTAGTCAATATATAAATTTAACATTTCGAAGTTTAAAATTATATTGGACTACGTATTTTCCTTTTGAACATTTTTATATTGCATTGTTACAAGACTGAACTTGACCAACGATGGTTTTGTATATTTTGGCCCTTTCTTTGTTATTTCTTGCTGAAGGCTAGGCTCATGTTAACAAGTAGTTTCGTATTTCTTATTTATTTTCAGTTTGTTATTGTTCAAGTTTGGTTCAAAATTGGAGAAAGATATTGCTGTTGCAAGTTGTATTACTAAATATATAAAATATTAGAGCATTATACATCCGATACTGGACTATGCAGATGTTTGTTGTCTGGATTTGACAGTCACCCTGCTCATTAAATTGGAACGGCTCCAAAATATGTGTGTAAGATTTTCGTAAGTTTGACCATGTTTTCCGGCATCGCAACTTAAATGGGTGCTCATTTACTGGTTTAGGAATACAATAAAGTAAAGACGAGACCGTCACACATTTTCTCTTCTTTACTTTATTGTATTCCTTTATGCGTCTTTACCTAAAATAACGTTTTATTTTTCCCTCTTCTACACTCTGCCATCCTCTTCGGTCCGCTTATACACTTATACTAACATCATGCCTCCGATCTTTAGTCCAACTCATTTACTGTATCACTATTTGGCTATAGAATTCTCTCCCTGAACATAGTCGAATTTTTCTCTACATTTCCTTCATTTTATTTCCTTTTTGTATAGTGTTATAGTTTTCCTCTGTTTGTATTTATTTATTTATATCACTACTTATTATTTATTTTATTTTCCTACAAAAATATATAAGTGATTTTATTATTATATGCTATTAATTATGTATACATTCTAATAATGTATGTATTTATTATTATTATTTATGTATTTACTTTACTTATGAGTATTGTATCTATTCATTACAAGATATTCCTTGGTTTCACTCTTCTTTCCAACTCTTAAATTTCTATCCTAAGGTTGCCTGGAAGAAACTGTTACTTAGCAACAATTGCAGCGGTGCATTAGCTTACTCTGCGATACTTGCATTACTGTTCTGTGTTGTCAGTGTAATTTTTAATGTGTAATAAAGAATATTTCATTAATTTATTCATCCATTACAAACATTAAATTAAAATCGACAGTCGCAATATAAGAGTTTTTTTTCATGAGTTGCAATGGTGATTACAGAAGGCACTGAATCAGGCTAGGACACAAAAAGTGAAAGGAGCCATGTGTATGAACCCGAATCAAAACCATTGTGCTCGAAGATTCCCCACACAAAGTATGTCTCACCTGCTCTCGTGCCCACTATGTCCAACCAGTACTTTACTGGTTTTCGTCATGGACTCGACAAGAAGAAGAAAAAGAATACAAAAGATATGCCAGAATGAAATAAAAAGCGTGAAAAAATTATGGAATCACATAATCCTAAAAAACGTATTGGAGGAAAGCATGACCAAGACTACTTCCCCAACAAAACAACGCTCTAATTTCGCAGGAGAATTAGTTAGTAAATAAAAAAATTTTATCTTTAAAACTTGGGAATGATGTTGAATGTAAATTTAGCAGTAGAAAATAAAGTAAATCTTGGAGAAAAGACACGAAAAACCTCGAAAAAGATGATCATGATGTAAAGAAAACCCTGGAACCAAAAACTGAGAAAAAGAAAGTAGTACCTACGCCATCACCAGTAGCCTTATAAATGATGAACCATTATCAACCTGCCTACATAATAAATGTGCAATTATTGACGCAAAAACGAAAGCAACATAATATAGAAACTACGCAAATTTACTGGAAGAGCTCAAAGGAAATTATTAAACCAATCAAAAGTTAATTTGAAGATGTTTCCAATTGGGAATAATTAATGCTTTTACGCAGAAAGAGAAAAGGAACAAGTTGGGCAGCGAGGTGTTGGAATTTTATAGAAACAAATGAACCAGGATTTGCTGCTTCATAGCACTGTATAACTAATAACTGCAGTAAAAATGTTTTTAAATGTGATTAAATATTTTATAGCCTATAATTCGATTAAATTTGTTAAAAACTTTAAAAAAACATAGGATCTAAAGAAGACAAGGTGATAAATGAAGGTACTATTTCATATATTTCTACTGTACTATACTATTCTACTCTATACTGTGATATAAAATAAGATAATTTTAAAGAATTGCTAAGCCCGTCAGTTTGTCTGCATGTCACATAAATTCCCTCAGAAATTCTTTACTTTTTTATTCTGAAAATTCTTTTAGTGATTTCCAGTCTAATATGTATTTAACCTCTTTATTATGATGTCAAGTTAGTCGTATGATGCGAAGAAGTCGTGCGCCTAGAGTAAGCGACACGCCTATCCATAACAGCTTCAATGCCACCCAGAGATTTAAATCGCAAAGATCTGAAGGGCACTGCCACTGCGCCTGTTACTCTGAGACATAAATTTGACAAGTCTCGTGTGCTTGTAGTATTACCAGCACCCATACCCTTCAAAACCGGAACGCAATAATGGCTTGGCATCAGAAACAGGTACGGTGGCAGCACTTACCTGGATTTTTGTAAGGAACTCTACTGCTAGTCACATAACCGTTATACATACATACATAACCGTTTTGTGGTAACCTATTACTGACAAACTAGATAATAACAGCCGATATCATTCTCAGAACCGAGCACCGAGGAGTTTTGTTTAAAATTTGATTTATCTAGTCGTTTTACCATGCTTATCGCGTTAGACATCTAATACCAAAGAAAAAATGTATCTTTTAAAGAAGTTGCAAAGTGAAAGACGCGTAAATCTCGAACTACTCACATGGTCATCTTTATGATGAGAATCGCACGTTACAAACGCAGGTATGATAATAGTAGATGTACTGTAATCATGTTGATACTGTATAAGGCTACTGGGTGCGGCAAGAAGTAATATTTATTATGCGGGTAAATAAAATTAACGTCTTTCACCGCTCGTGACCTGCCTAAAACATGCCAAACTTTCCCAGCCGAGTTATACCACAGAATGTACTGCGTAATTGATTAGGGGAATGAATGATTTATTCTATATGTTAGAGGAGTTTTATTAAGATTTATTGTTTGCTTTTGTTTTGGGTTGTGGATAAAAAATAGACAACATCATAGAAAATTGTTTCTCCAAGCTACAAATCTTCGAAGTCTGTTTTGTTCCTTGGGAAAATAGATGCAGTAAAAAGACTGAAGTTAAAGAAACGGTTTAGGAATCAAAATAATTACTATTGCAACTGTAAAATTTGCTACAAATTTTTCGTTTCTCCGAATGAAGAACTTCAATACGGATTTTAATCCTTGAAAGTCTAAAATTATTCTTGTAATTTATCAAGGAACTCAAATTATTTGGATGCTGTCAGATATTCCGTTTTACAAGGCTTCAGGTATTTTTTCAAATATCCCTGCACAAACATTTTTCTGTTTGTCGATCACTTGAACAGAAAAACAAACTTTTTGTTATCCAAATAAAGTTTAATTCAATTTCCTCTAGCTGATATAACATTTGACGCAATTTGAATTTCATCCTAACCTGTTGTCCTTTCAACACACGGTCCTATTGGGAGCGCTCATAACAAAAACAGCCCCTTTATGGAAATACAAACTCGTTATACCGGTGACAGGTTGAACGTTGTTTTTGTTCGGAAGTTATCATGGCATTTCATGTCAAGCATTAAAAGAAGTGTGAATTAAATAGGTCTATTAAAGAGCTGGAGCTATGACATCTCTAAAAATATCGGCAATCTCGACATCGCTATCCTATTAGCATAGTATAATAAGTATGGTAACTCCATTCATTTGCAACAACGTTTACATGTGTGCACGCTCGCTGTGTGTCGTGTACGGATGCACATATTTGCATAAAAATAAAAGACGCATGGAACGACCAGCACTCTGCAATGCGAGTGCATCGCGAGATTATGCGAATGTGTGCGTCCGGTACGCGGCGAGCGCGCACACATACAAATCGCGCTGCTACGTTTGTATAGAGTTACCCTACTTATACTATGCCATTAGTACCTTTACTGTGACTAAATTGTGTGACGTAATTTAACAGATATTCCCGCCCGGACGTGCGCAGTACGTTACGTCTAGTAAAAACGGTACCTAAACGTGGAGAATCGTCCTAATTGGTCTCAATGCCCAATAGCGTTATACCGTTCAGCCACCGTATTCAGTTTACTGTTATTCTGCCCAGTGAAAGGTATTTTCGGCTTTAGGGGACTCCAACAGAAATTACCTTTACATCTATAAAAATTCAGATTCAATCCTATATAGGGGACACGATTCGAGATCTATTTGGTAGAAAACACGACCACTCTGATCCACGTTACCTGTGGGACATTAATATTATGTTTTATTTGCTCTTACAAGGTACTTTTGTCTTTTGGAAAACATAAACAAAATTTCACACAAATAAAATAGCCGTGATAGCCTTGTTTGGGGAAGTCTTATCGTTCTTATCGAAGGGTCAAAGTTGAAATCTCTGCATGCATCGATGAGTGCTTCAATTCTGAAGGAAAATATCGTACTGCAAGATGACCTAAATCCTACACATCCAAGAACCAATATAACTTCTTTTTCGAGAAGATTTATCAGTGGTACTTGTGGGAGTTTTAATATACATACATACCTTTACGTGTCTCCCGTGTGCAGAGAAAAACCGGCTGTCGGCAGAGTAGGTCACCAATCCCACTGAAAGTAGCGAATAATCCTTTCTTCTGATCCACGTTACCTGTGGGACATTAATATTATGTTTTATTACAAGGTACTTTTGTCTTTTGAAAAACATAAACAAAATTTCACAGAAATGTTTTTAACACATTGAAAATGAAACTATCGGACCATTTCTAGGTTTCATGGTCACAGCTGATTAAGACTATTAGTCATCAACCAGTTATGTTTAATATTAAGAGTCGATACTACCTTAGCTCGAATTCAAAAATTATCCCGTACTAATACATTTTGTTCGTTTTGCTGGGGTCGAGGGGATGAGACACCGGCATTACTTCTGAATAATTTTTAATATATATCGTATAACTATACGTGTTCTATTTAGTTCAGTTGACATAAAAAAAAATGCAATATCAATTATCAATGCAATCAATACAGCGGTTTTTTTGTAAAATTACGTGGTAAGTTTGTATTTTCTTCTTCCGTGAACATTTTTAGGAATGTATTTTTCACACCGTATACTAATCGTGAATATCCTCAATTTTATTGTATATTTTTTTTTCAAAATTATTGATTCAACACTTTCAGTGTTATGCAGAATCAACCAAAGCCATTTGAGGTTGTATTAAGTCATAATGCAAACCACCCTTTTCAGAACTGTGATTTCAATTTTAAGTTACGTATGTACTTATGTGTAAGTCTAGTAGCAATATCTCTCACTTGCTTATTGCGTTCGTCACGCATAAACTAAGGCCTAAAGACTCTAATGAGTTAACAGTAACGTCTATCTCCCAATGGGTAAGTAGAGACTACGGACCTTTTACTGCTACGTTTCTGACGTCCTATACTGTCCTTTTGGGAAGAAATAATCTTCTCCTCATTCTGAAGTTAAAACAGATTACATCATAAAATCAAAATACGATTGGAAAAATGTCTTATCCGAAAAAATTGTTTTATTTCTAATGTGTAGAAATCGCAATAAAATCTCGATATTTTTAAAATAGATCAACGAACAAAAAACATTCTACTGAAAATGTTTACTTGACTGAGACTTAAAATTAGGCCAAAGGAATTGAATGCGCACTTTAAAGTCAATGTTCGGTAGTGTAACATCATAAGATTGAATAAATATTTTATCCGGAAAAATTGTTTCATTTCCAATGTGTAGAAATCGCAAAAAATACTATATTTTTAAAATAGATTAGCGAAACAAAACATTTTACTGAAGATGTTTACTTGACTGAGACTAAAATTAGGCTAAAAGAATTGAATGTGCACTTTGAAGTCATTGTTCGGTCAAGTGAGATTTTCCTTAAAATTTGTTCGGTTCATATTTAGACACTGTGAACGCACAGATGCTGGAAAATAAAGTTATCTTTAGCACAGGGCCTCGCTTATCGTTATGTCTGCCTATAATTTATCTCAACGGTTATCGTTTTGGGATAACTGAATATCCATAAATATCCCTTATGTCCATAGTTAGGCCAGGATAGGTCTTACAAATGGTACAGATCGGATATTTTGATGTTATCAAAGAAATTCGATGAGTGAAAGGTGTGGTTAACAAAAAAATAGTAACGGCGTTTACCGTAAAATGAAAAATTCGATTATGGACGGTACGGGGTATCCCGTTTCGATATATGGATCTTGTAAAAACTACTACGGGCTTTACCGTGCTAATTCCAAGTACTTTGTTTATAGTTGCCGCCCACTGCTTCTCCATGGAGAAGCATCAACAATGTACTGACAAAATTAAATGATTTATTTGAGATACATTTGTGGACGTTACACATACATATTTAATATGTGCACACCAAGACAGTACGGTGAATACTGACGTGTTATGAGGTGATGTATGATCGTACATGTCAGTGCGTCGCCAGCGACTGCCTTTTGTGGTTGTGTAGTTTGTTTTCGCGCTGGAACTTTCTGAGAGTAAATAATCCCTCAATTTTTTTCTCTAAATGCATAATTTTTTAGTAATTGAATAAACCAATAATGTGTACTGCAGAAACCCTATTCAATAATAAATAATAATGAAACTTGTTTTCACATTTAAAATGAAGTCAGTTAGGTAGGTATTTTCTGCCATCTAGGTGAAATGAATTACTTAATTTTCGTTTTTTGATGAATAACTATACTTACTATTAGTAATCAATATCATCTCTCTTACTACTTTCCAAACTGTGATTTAATCATTCAAATGGTAAATAAAAAACCTTCATCACTGCTTAAATACAATCTAATTAGTAATTGTTTCTTTTGGAATTGTTAGTACATAACAACTTTTATTTGTCTTCTTATACTGCAAGGGTTACGCTATTTTAATGTAGAGATTTAGACTTTTTTGTTGAAATAAATTAAATAAAGTCACTGTACTGCTGTCATAGCCGTACTTACTTATGCACAAGAAACATTTGCAAGAACAGTTTGCAGTGCTGCTATGAATGTCGATGGGATCAGTGATTAATTATGTTGAAACAATATGGTCACTACGGCATAAAGAAAAGTAGTGACTTTTGGTGGGCGGTATTATTTCAGTCCTGTCCATAAAGGGGTTAGTGGCCCATATCAAAACAAAAAAAATTTGGATTTGCAAAATTTTTTGTAGCAGTATAGGCAAAATAGACGTAATTCCACAAATATTTCAGGTCGGTTGTTTCAATAATTTATTATTAGGTACTTAATCATGTTTGTGTTAGAAGCAAATTATAATATTTAGTTCTTTTAGTACCTATGTAATGTATGTACTGGCCGAAGTAAATTCCTTACAATACATACATTGTCTTAATACGTTTATATTTTGTGTGTCATTTGTTACTGGTGCGCCTGGTACGATGGAAATTAAATAAACTAATTTCAAAACAAATACAGTTCATTTAACATAATTTTTATTTGCAACAATTTCACTTCTTAGAATTTAACTTTATAATTATAATTCTTGTTTGATATAACATTCACATTTTATATTTTTTTATCTACAGCTCGTTAATACGAGCATAATTTAATATTTCATAATAGCAATAATCATCATTTCATATGTCGTCAATTTAGATAATTTTTATGTTGTATTATATCACTTTTCATAAATAATAAGTTTAAACCCGACTCGCTATGGTACTTGTCAGTCCGAGGTGCGGAGGGAAAGCTGTTTTCCTTTATATAGTTTACAATACTGAATTTCCATTTCAACAAAACTATTCTTTGTTGCAGCTCCCATTCAGTAGGTTAGGTTAGGTTAAGAATATGACAAAGGAGCACGAGTCAAGCGAGCCGAGCGAGTGTAGCGGGCGTGTCGCGGCAGCCGTCGGCAAGTACTTTCCGCTAACGCGATTCATGCGTCTCTGGAAGCATACCACACCTAGAGGTGCCGGTGATGATTTTATACCGATTTATCGGATATCGAAGTTATAACAGGTAAAAGAACTAATACTAATTGCTATTTCGGTAACTACTCTAGCAAACCATAAAGTTTTTAATGCCTGGGTCTGTCATTAAAAAAAAATAAACAACTTATTTAAATTTAAATAAAATACGTCACGACAATCGTGTGTGTTAGTGTTTGGGCTGGTGATGTCGGTGTTTATTTATTGAAAACATACCATAAGTTGCGTTTTTTAAGTTTACCCTGAATATACATAAATGTTTATAAACTATACTTTAAGGAGTAATTTCATGGTAAACATTAGAACCACTCAAACGGAATATTATCATATTTACCCAAGTACACCAAAAATTTCATTAGTGCTTTTTAAGTGCAGGATTTGCGGTGTATTACTGCATTTTATTTGAGACGTTTTTGTTGTAGTACGGAGGGTATTTATTTAGCAATGCAGAATAATAAATTTTATTTTTAAAAACTTGTATTTAAACTGAATCCTTTTCTAATTTGCGGAACCAAATAGCCGCCATTTTGCGGTAGGATGAGCGCGTGAGCGGCTAGACAAAATGAAATTTAAACAAAATGACGTTATGTTAACTGTAGTTTATAACTTACAATCGTTATTATAAATGAGTGTAAGTGATCTTAATAAAAAATGAAATTATAGAATGTAAGTTTATATTACAGATTCGTTATATTATGAAGTGAATTACTATATTAAATGAGTTTATAGGAAGTAAAATGATGCCGATTGAGCATTATGTGAATAATATTTATGTTTTGGCGCTTTATGTATTATATGTGTGGGCGCTAGATGTAAAAAATGGGTGTGTAATGTATCATACATAATACACTTCTAATCGCTGGACTACCAAGGTTGTTGGTGTATTTTTGTATTTATATTAAACATCTGGGGATCTACTTCCGTTCTTCGTCCGACATCTGTCCGAAACAATTATTGTCATATAAGTATGACTTATTTGACAGTAATTGTTTCGGCCGCATGTAGAACAGGAGTAGATCGCACGGAGTACAGATTTTAATATTTTTAGGTCAGGTTGATTATAATTTACAGGCCTATTAAAAATTCCTGTGATTACATAAACTCTACTAAGTAATTTCGTAAAAAAAAAAAAAAAGGGTAGTTTACGATAAAACACGAATTTTTAATTAAAATTACTTATTGGCACGGCATAAAGAAAAATAGGTATAATTTTCTTACGTTCGAATTTGTTTGATTTTCCTTTCATTCATCATTAAATGACTTTGGTGGTCAAGCCTTAATAACTGCGGGCGCTACATGCGCAAGTCCCGCTTTCGACTCCCAGTAGATTCAATGCACGAAAGGAGCCTCCCGCTATGACGTACGAATCGTATTCCCATGACGGCAGACAATCTAAATTGGTTCTGATTTGACAATTCTGGGTATGCGAATGACTGATTTTCAGTACAAACTGATTTCAGCATAATTAATAGATTCAGGCATTATTTTGCGGAATTCCATGTTAATAAAAATAGAAGTAAATTAATTTGCTACGTCCAATATAGGGATGTTCGTATTGTCAATGATCCCAAACTCGCAGACGGTATGGAGCCTCTTAGCCTACGGATAGACGTTGGTTCTCTGTGTTCGTGCCAATCACGCACATATTTAACAGATCTTTTTCTTATTCTGAGTT